ACTTTTGCTAGGTTAATGTTTCTAAAACATGGCTTGGAATATTCATAGTTCCATCATGCATTCCACAAACATTTACTTTATGTTAAGTGCTTACTTTATGCAAAGCACAGTGTTATATACCCCAGAATATACGAATGAATTAGATAAAGGTCTGTTTACAGTTTAATATGGTGAAAGACTAGTACATAAATAATTTTAGTTTAAAATTAAAGTGGTAATAACTGAATACATGAAGTTGAGAAAGTATCATGGACATTCAGTAGAAGGAAAACTATTTCTAGATGGAGATGTCACTTTTAAGGCTTTAAAAGAATGGATAGAATTTCAGCATCTGGATATGAAGGGGAGGGAAAGGTATTCCAAGCAGAAAGGGACATCTGCAACCTATGCAAACATAATGGGTAGTTCATGCACGAAGTACTTCACATGGTCTGGTTTACCATGGGCAGAGAGAGAATGAAACGGGAACACCAGAAAATAAAGTTAGAGTTTTGAATCCAAGTTAATAAATCTGGCCTTTAATCCAAAGGCAACAGGGAGCCAGTGATTACCTTGGATCACAGCTGTGCTTGAAGATGACTACATCTATAGCAGCTGTACGTAAGACAGGCTGGTAGGGGAGTGACGCTAGAAGCAGGGCATCAATGTGGAAGGTACTGCGGTTCCACCGTCCAGGGGATAATGAGAACTTTGATTAGGTGGAAGCTAGTGGATATGGAGTGGATGGATGCCAGAACTACCGCAAGGGTAGAACAGTCAGAACTTGGCAACTCACTGGAGCAAGAAAAGGTATCAAAATTAGACACCAAAGTTTCCAAGTTGGTTGTATTAACAAATAGGGGTGCACAGGGTGAGAAGCAATTTGGTAGAAAGAGGCCACGTTATGTCTGGGATATTCCGCGTTTACACAGTTGCAGAACATCCGAGAAGAAACGGCTAAAAGACTCTTGGAGGTAGCTGAACATTGACTGAGGCTGGAGCACAGAGGTGGTATGTTTCTGCAAAAAGGTGTACAAAACGGGTTCTTACTCCCGTGGCTTGCTCAGGCAGGAGTGAAAGATGTAGCACCGCTGAAGTAATCCAGTAGTGTCTGCTCTTCGCGGCCGCTTTCACCTCAAGTTCTCCACAAAGATTCCGGGAGCAGGCGGCCGGAAGTAGCCTTTCCCTCTCGGCATAGCCGCAGAACTTCCGTCCCTACCAGTCACGGGCTCCCAGTCAAGGGGGCTTAATAAACAGCGACGTCTTTTCCTGCCCAGTCACCAGGCAGGCTGAAGCTCACGGGGGACACTTCACCTTCAGCCCGCTACGTGACCATATCTACCCGACTTCTACGCTTTGCACCAGCATTCGAAGAAATCCCGTGGGGCAAAAATTCTACACGTTGAACCCAAGATATCGCGAGACCTGACAGGCCGCCTGCGTCTTTGCCCGCCGGAAGCGGAAATCAGGTGGTTTCAGGATTCTAGCGGAAGGGACTCCGTTACCTTGGAGAAGTGAGGTGCTGTGGGATTCTATTCTGTGGTGAACCGGAGGCTGCTTCTCTTACGTGTCTAGCCGGCGGGGTTCGGCCCTTGGCTGGTGAGCTGCCCGTTCGGGGCGATGGGGAGGAGGGAGCTGGGCAGGCCGAGCCGAGTGGCCGGCGAGGTGTTCATTGTGTGGTGGGCTGGACTCTGGCTAGACCGGAGGCCCACTCACCCCTCAGGGCTTCTGATTTCCTTCCCGTCTGGAGATTTAAGGTGCTTTGCAGGGGAGCAAATCCGTCAAAGCCTTAGTAAGCAAACTGTGATGTGCTTTGAAGGCGGACTGAAAAACGCAGTTATTTTCAGTCAGTATCTTCGTCTGTTCTTTGGGCTCACCGCCTAGGGTTAGTCGCCCTCAGTCAGTTTTATGTGGTTTTATTTGTGGTGAGTAAATGAATGTTCAAGTGCAAATCTGAAAGGCTGTACCCTTTTTGCCCCCCAACAGAACATACCTTGTGAAGTTACGCTTCACATGCTTGAACTAGCTTGTAGGGTTTGAAGGCCCAGAGGACAAGTCGTGGAGCTTACTCTAACTCTTCACCATGAGCACTGATTTCCTCTTTCGCATGATTAGCGCTCGAAGTCTTTAGAGCACTTTTAATCCAACCCCTTTATTGACTAAGGGTCTTATGCCGACGCTCCCCCCACCCCCGCCGTCCCGGCGTAAGTAAAGCTTGATCAATTAAAATGCTACTTAAATTCCATTCTTATATGAGTAATGATAAAGATACTCGTTTACTTTTGTGTTGGGGGGTCGCGGGGTAACATAAAATAGCACATTTTCCTTGCCTTATGATTTTTTACTGTCCAGCTGAATTAGATATGAGTCATCTTTCCAGTGATTTCTGTGAATCCTATAGAAGTCTAGGCACGATTTTAATTAGCTGAATTTATTTTAAACTCATTTCTTGGATTTGAGAATTTGATACGAGTTTGCCAATCCCAAACACATTGAAAGTCTGGTATTTGATAAGGCAAACTCCGTCTAAAAAAGCAGTGGCCTGTAAAGTAAAACGTTTAGATCCTGTTTCTTGCATCCAAACAATAATTTTGGTTTAATTTTCTTGGGTTGAGCGTAGTATTATAAATGTTATAAATATTTGCATATGTCTTGAGGGGGCTGGAAGAAATACAAACTCATGAAGAAACTATCTTCCAATATCACATCTCTTTGTCAAAAACTTTTTGATAGAAGTTGGATTCATAAAGAAATAAAAATAACTTGGGCCGAGCCCGTGGTGCACTCAGGAGAGTGCGGCGCTGGGAGCGCAGCGACGCTCCCGCCGCGGGTTCGGATCCTATATAGGAATGGCCGGTGCGCTCACTGGCTGAGCGCGGTGTGGGCGACACCACACCAAGGGTTGCGATCCCCTTACCGGTCACGAAAAAAACAAAAAAAAAAAAAAAAAAAAAAAAGAAAGAAAGAAAGAAAAATAACTTGAAGATGTCAGCTATGAGGGAGAGATTTGGTTTTAAAGTTTCGGCATGATGTTAAATATGCCCCAAATCATAAAACAGGTTTTAGGAGTCTTGAGGCAGAGAGCAGAAAGATGGGGTTTGGATTTAGGGGAAGGGACTGGTTGAAAGTATGGACTACCTACAGAATACTGCTAGGGCTGGCTTCCAGATCTTGGGTGAAGATTAAAAGAAGTGAACTCTTTCTCCCCTGGTTTCTCACAGGTTAGGCCTTCAGTTTAAGCCAAATCTTTTCCTAGAGGTAGGGGGCTCTCTGAGAATAGGAGTGAAGAAATACTAGTTGAGTGAATCTATAATCGGCCTGGAAAACCCAGCTGATACAGATTTCCATTTTTATAACCATTAGACAATATCTATCGCAGTTATTTTTCATTTGTCACAGAATCTGGAATAAGAATACAGTGGATAACATTATAAACTAGTTACCCTACACTTTAATAGCTGTGCATCTAAATGCCTTTCTGTTTTTACATCTTTCCTGTATTTCCAGTCTTCCCTTTTTTATTGGTTTTCTTTTATAAATAATTTCAGATATTTTATCCTGGGTAAAATAAGAGATAATCTCTCAGTAACCTCTTTTTTTCTCCTGTTTTTAGCCAAGCGTCTTGAAAGCTTAATCTACATTCAGTGTAGATTTCTATTTCCTTACTTCCAGTTGCTCCTCAATCACTTGCAGACTTGTTTCAATCCCTACTACAGTCATTTACCAGATGACATTTTGGTCAACAGCACATTGCATATGTGATGGTGATCCTATAAGATTATAATGGCTATACCATATAGCTTAGGTGTATAGTAGGCTATACCATCTAGGTTTGTGCAAGTACACTGTATGATGTTAGCACAGGAGAAAATCACCTAACGATGCATTTCTTAGAATGCATACCTGTTATTAAGTGACACATGACTGGTACTCTAAAATAATCACCTCCTAATGGCTAAATCCAGTTAATTCTCTCTTTTTGGTTCTTTCTATCACTGTATCATTTGCCATTATTGACTGCTCTATTTTCTTGCCTTCTATGATAATCTCTTCCAGTTCACCTTTTATTTATCCGTGTGGGTTCTCCTCTTGTCCCTTCTTTATCTTTGACTGTTCTTTAAATGCTGATGTTCTCTGGAGTTCTGTTCCTTGATACTCTTCTTATTCCACATTCTCCCTGAGGAATCTTATCCATTCTTACAGCATTAATCACCAAGAAACTTATAGCCTTAGCCACCAGAAAAACTGCCAATATCTCCCATATTCATCTTCAACCCAGTTCTCACTCCCAAACAGTTAATTGTGAACTGACCCTTCATTTGGATGTATATACCATAGCTAACTTTAAACTCAGTGTATATCCTTGCTCATTTTTCTTCCTGTAGTTCTTGTGGCACCATTGTCTGTCCAGTCATTTGGTCAGAAGCTTGGGAGTTAACCTTTTTTCTCCCCTTTCCTCCCCTATCTAGTCAGTGATCAATTCCTCTTGGAATCCTTTAAAAACTATTCTCACAGTCCCTGCCTCAGACTAAGCATGTTACCTACATTATTGCAGTAATCTGCCTTTAATCTAATCTCACTAATCTATTCTGTACCTTGATAGAAAGTGATCCCTTTGAACGGTAAATTTGATCTTGAGACTTCCCTGCTTAAACCACCTGTAACTCCCCATTTCCTACCAGAAAAAGCACAAAATTGTTTGCATTGAATATAGTTTTTCACAATTTGACTTCTGCCTACCTTATTTCTTGACATTGTCTGCTCCTTCCTTTATATTTTTAACACATCTCTTCTATTAGATGGGAACTCTTTGGGGGCAGGGTTCATGATATATTGTTCATCTTTGTATCCCAGACTCCTTATTAATCCAATGTCTGGAACACAGTAGTGAAGAAATGTTGAATTGAAAGTCTAAAGTCTATCTTAAATTTAAAAGTACACAGGGACTTTTATGGATACCCTGCCTAAAACAGTTTATTCTTGGTTTTCCATAATATGGTAAGATAGTGTTAATTTTTTAAAAATTTCTTATAGAAATTTCTTAAAAACTGTACAGAATTTCAGAATGACTGACACTTCTGAAGCTGTTCGAAATTTTGAAGAGATGTTTGCCAATAGATTCACAGAAGATGACAAAGAGTACCAGGAATACCTGAAACGCCCTCCTGAGTGCCTTCCTCCAATTGTTGAGGAATGGAATAGCAGAGCTGGTGGGAACCAAAGAAATAGAGGCAATCGGTAATGTATTACTTCAGAAGAATAAATGCAGATGGTTGATTTGAGAGAGCATAGCTTTAATCTGCTAAACATAAGGTCAGTGAGGGCAGTGACCAGTGTTTTCGTTATGGTATACTTAGTGCCTAGTAACAGTGTGTGGCACATAGTAAGAGCTTGATAAATATTTGCTTCAATATTTTGTCAACACCATATATTCTTTTCCTTACTTTTCAGTTGTTTGTGTTTTAATGTTTTTTAAAAATGTCCTTTCTGTAGACTAATATTTTCTTTGCAAATATGATTTAAAAACCTAGAATCTTCTAAAATTTCATGTTCAGTTTCATAAAAAAGGTATCATTTTGATTTTACTTTAGAAAGAATTTTGTAAAATGGGAATTACTTCTAATTAATAATTCAGAATAGTCAAAGGAATAAATTATCATATTGGTTTTGTACAATTTTGAGTAGATTTCAGTTTGATTCAGAGTTATCCTATTGGTTTGGGTTTGTCTGCCTATTTCTGTGTAAAGTGTATAAAGTATAATACTGGAAAAAGGATTTAAATCTTAGGAAAGTTTTGAATAACTGGTACTATAACATTCTGTACAGAAAAATGTTTTTTTTTTACTCTTTTCTACTTAGATTGAGAAATTAAATGCACTGGAAAAGATTTATGTGTTTTTTTATAAGAGAAGTTTAAAAACCATTTTGTTTTGTTGTAGGTTGCAAGATAACAGACAGTTTAGAGGTAGGGATAGCAGACGGGGGTGGCCAAGTGACAATCGATCCAATCAGTGGCATGGACGATCCTGGGGTAACAATTACCCACAGCACAGACAAGAACCTTACTATCCCCACCAATATGGACACTATGGTTATAACCAACGGCCTCCCTATGGTTATTACTGATAGAAATGTTAGTAAAACCATTTACTTTGTTAACATGACAAAAGTTTGTGTGTCTTTTGTTGTTGGACATAGTTTTACATCTGATTTTAGAGAATATTCATTTTTGGAACATGAGACTTACTTTCAATGTGATGGTTACTGGGAATAAACACTCCCCCCAAAATGTTGTGGATTATATTGCTTGACTTCTTCCTCAATTCTTCTTTGTTTCATTACTTAATAGTGCTTTGAGTTGGTATATTTTCCTTGTTTGACTTCCAGGAGTTATGTCTTTGTTTTAAATAGAAAATGCTTACTTTACTTTGTAAGATAAGGGAGTATCCATATATTCAGATGTGTTTGTTTCTAAAATTGTACAGACTTTAGTACAGTCAGCTCGTGAATGCACAGCTATGCTTACTTGTGATGTACTGTACATCAGTAGTTGAAACAGTAAAACAATTGTACTATATTTCTTTTGGCTTTGTTATGTGACTATGGTAATTTGTGATTACTTACTCTATAGGTATGAATCAGCTACACAATTTTTTTGGTCTCTTTTTAGAGGGAAATCAAGAATGAAGCAGCAAAATGAGGAAGGAATCATTCTCAGTATTAGTGTCTTGATTTGGTGATGGGTGGGATTAGGGCACATATCATCTTATACAGACTCTAAGGCTTTTTGATAACTTAAACATAGCAGGTCAGATTTCACATGTTATATAAAAGTTGCATGTTCAAACTTTCCTTTTCAATCATGTGTAAATAATGCTGCATTTTGACTGTTCTACTTTTTTGGAATTTAATGTAGGTTGATTTTACAATGCTATATTCACTTCCAAATGTGCACCTTTGCTGCTTACTCTTCCATAAATACAGTAATGCTGTAACTTCCCTTCAGAAGATCATTCTGTTCAAATCATTTTAGTGGTTATTACAATAGTTTTATTCAAATAAAAAATTTTATAAACATTTAGGCTTTACTTCCAATTTTTGGCCCATTTATTAATATGGTGAGATAAGCTTTTTGTGGGTTTTTTTTCCCCCCACTCTGTCCTTCATATCTATTGAAAAGGTTTTATTTGGTTTAAGGGTAATATTAAGAGTACAAGTTTCACCATAGATCAAAGGAATTAAAAGGCAACTTCCTAAATCTACCTTTTGCTGCCTTCTTAGCACCTCACTCTCAACCCTTGAGGTTGACTTCTCCAGGTCCTACTCCATCACGCCTTCTTGAACAGCTACCCTTTCAGGTAACTATTTAATGAGAAGATCTAATAAATCAGGTATTCACACTGAGATGTAAATAAAATGTTAATAATAAGGTAAGGGTTTTCCTTGTACTCTTCTAATTATATCAGTAGGCAACAAACCAGTGCTGTTACATAGATAGGTCTTGATACTGCAGATATTTATCCTAGAAAGTCAAGAGCGATCTGACTACAACCCAGGATTTTCTTGGAAAGCAGAGGTGTTATTAAAAATATCAACTGGCTGGGCCGGCCCGGTGGCGCACTGGAGAGTGCGCCCTTGGGAGTGCGGCAGCACTCCCGCTGAGGGTTTGGATCCCATGTGGAGACCGGTTCCCGCTCACTGGCTGAGCGCGGTGCGGGCGCAACACCGAGGGTTGCGATCCCGTTGCCGGTCCCCGGTACAGGCGCGACACCGAGGGTTGCGATCCCGTTACCGGTCAGTAGAAAAGACAAAAAGGAAAAAAAAAATATCAACTGGTAAAGTATAGGTGCTGACCAGTTGGTACAGTAGCTGACTCTAGCTTTAGAGTGGGATCCGGTGCTGTGCCAGCTATTGACACTAATTAGGGAGATCTGTGGGTCCAAGGGACAGGGTTGGAGTGAGGGATGCTTCTCAGGAAGCTCAGACGAGGTTATTTTCCAACAGCCTTTCTTTTTTTTTTTTTATTTTTTTTATTTTTTTTGTCTTTTTCGTGACCAGTAAGGGGATCACAACCCTCGGCCATTCCTATATAGGATCCGAACCCGTGGTGGGAGCGTCGCTGTGCTCCCAGCGCCGCACTCTCCTGAGTGTGCCACGGGGTCGGCCCTTAATTTTTTTTTTTTTTATGATAAAAGTGAAACCATAGATTAGATTTATTTTACACAACAGTTACAAGACAGACTTTTTTTTTTTTTTTTAAAAAGATGACCAGTAAGGGGATCTTAACCCTTGACTTGGTGTTGTCAGCACCACGCTCACCCAGTGAGCAAACCGGCCATCCCTATATAGGATCCGAACCCGTGGCCTTGGTGTTGTCAGCACCGCACTCTCCCGAGTGAGCCACGGGGCCGGCCCCAAGACAGACTTTTTGTAGGCACATAATTAAATACATCTTAAACAAAGATCAAAAATAAAAAATTGGTTCCAAGACCAATCAACATGTAGCCAAGATAGGTAGTTGCAGCTAGAATAATCCAAACAGATCCTGTTTTAACCTGTCTAATTGTCCCCTGAAGGCCATCTTCAAGGTTATCCAAGAGAGGAAAGCTGGATATTTTCTTTTCTGCAGTGGCACCCTTCCCTTCTTTACTTATGCTTGGGCCATCAGATGTGGCTGTTACCTTCAAAGCCTGAATGAGATCCAAGTTTTGAATTCAACATCTGAGACAAGGGCAAAGTTTCTGACCCTGGGGGTCAGGGCAGATGTCTGCCTTGTGTCCTCCTTCTGCTGCCCTTCCACTGATCTCCAGTTATCTTCTTTCCTGCCTTCTTCACAGTCACTGCCCTTCTTCCTCCTCCTCTGACACAATTTACAAAATATTCAAAAGGAGCACCCAGCAAACAGGAAGAATTCACACAATTGTTACTTAAAACATATAAACCAAACTCCTTTTATTACTTCATTATGTAGCCATAATTCATCTGAATATTACTAACTTAAAATCTGCAAAGGAACACTAAAATTGGGTGAAGGGGACAGTCATATTCCCAAAGACAAATATGGCTGTCTTGTAGGCTCTTGTAACTCTGCTGAAATAGGGGCTACCAGTATAAAAACTAACAGGAAAAGCAAGTTTCTTCAAGCAGGCTTATCTACCCAACTGTCCTGTATCTTCTATGTTTAAATTCTTTACAGAAGGGTCAGAAGAAGTGCTTTGTGAAGACAAAATATTGTATTAGACTTGACAATGTAAAGTGTGGTTGTGAAGATTATTTTCATTTACTTTCTGAGGAATATTTGAAACATAATGGTCAACTAGGCCTCTGCCAGGATTGATCTCTCTCATTGGGAACTTTAGCAGAGCCTCAGTTCTACCATAGGATTTCAGCAGCCAATCTCAAGAGAAGTGGTTATATAAAACAATTGGGGATGAATGTCAGGCAAAGGAGTATCCTGGCTATGAAAGAGAAGCAGAAATAAAAGAACATTAATGGGCAAGGGAGAATAGGGAACAGGATAGAGGAGATGAAAGGGGCAGAGAAGGGAGACAGCTGATGAATTCTGAGGTTATTGATATCACTGCTTCTAAATGTGATGCATAAAAATCAATTTTAAGGAAAAATTATCCTCTAAATAAGGGCAAAGATGAAGGAGAGGGAAGACCAGGAGTTGGGAAGGTGGGTGTATTAGTCTGTCCCTGGTGCATATAACAAAATATATGGAACTGGGTAATTTTTGATTTTTTAAATTTAAAAATATTTTTAAAAGATGACCGGTAAGGGGATCTTAACCCTTAACTTGGTGTTATCAGCACCACGCTCTCCCAAGTGAGCTAACTGGCCATCTCTATATAGGGATCTGAACTCGTGGCCTTGGTGTTACCAGCACTGCACTCTCCCGACTGAGCCATGGGCCGGCCCAGGAACTGGGTAATTTTTAAAGAAAATGAAATTTATTGCTTACAGTTTCTGAGACTGGGAAGTTCAAAGTCCAGGCAACACATCTGGTGAGAGCCTTGGTGGTGATGATAGTGACCCACTGGTCTCACATGGCAAGATGGTGGAAGCAGAGAGAGAGAGAGAGAGAGAGAGAGAGACTCTCCAAACCATGGCCCTGACCACCATTTTTAATTCATTCATTGCAGTGTGGTCCTACAATCTAATCACCTCTTCAAGGCACCACCTTTCAATTACCATAATGGGATTTCTCACCCTCAACAGTTACAGTGGGGATTAAGATTCCAATAAATGAACCTTGGGGAACACAATTCAATCAATCCACAGCAGTAGGGGTCACTAAAAGAAAAGTGCACTTATTTTGCTATGTTTTAGAAATAATTTTATGTATTCTGGAAGATATTGCATGCCTCACTTATTCATGAAAGAGTTTTACTTGAATGTTCTGGCACCATAATGTCTCATATATATACTGTTCTTTGTACTTAGGCTAGTTCTATAACGTATATTGACTTTTTAGAAACAAAATTTTTTAAATGAATTTTCTATAAAAGCACTTAAATATCTTGAGTAACTAGATTAAAAGTATTAAAAGTATTTAACTCAGTCAATATCTTAATTTTTGCATACAACATAACATCCCTCACAAAGTCATTATCTACATGCAGATTAATGAAATAAAAAATAAGACTAAAGCAATCAAGCTTACTAATATGGACTACTTTTGTTTCTATTAAACCATAGTTTCCATTAATATTGAAAAAGACCTCCAATTAAATTCCGTTTCCTACTTGCCAGTGCAGTGTCACTTCCCTAACTTTGAAGTATAATAATTAAAACAAATGCTTATACCACAGGACTCTGGCAACAACATACATCTTTGCCATCTCTCCTGAAGATTTCCTCATCTTATTGCAGAGTAAAAAGATGAAGTCTCTGATATTCTCTTCAAAATTCCCAAGTCCTGTTTAAATATCAAGTGTTCCAACTACTAGTACTTTAACTGAATTTTCACTGAACAAAGGCCTACCTATTGAGGCCACTACCTTATCGAATTTGTGACCAGTTGCTGGAAATTGGCTGGAAATGTTTGTATCATGCCAGATTCAGAGTTTACTAATGAGGAATTAAAGGGCTTTGAACAGTATAACATTCAAACTTAATGTATGCACATTCCACCAGTTAGAAAGTATATTCTTTGGTCAATTTTACCTACAAGATAGGAAAATAAATGGAAAGCTGCTTTAGGGTTAAAATTTTTAAAAAATAAAAAGAAAAGAAAGAAACCATGAGAAATCCCTCTCATCAGTGTGTTATGAAATTACAAGGGCACTGAAAGTCACATGAAATAATGATATTGATTGTATACATGAAGTTTCCAGGTATCATATTGAGAGAAACCACATAACCCAATGAAAGTTCACAAAGCAAGGTTCTAGTTTTGATGACACAGTATGTCACAGTTTCTCCCAATCATATTCTGCAGACTGGATAGAAAAAAATGTCATCAGAAAGCAACTTTCAACCTTCATTATTTCAATCTGAAGGGAAACTAGAGTATCTCATAAGTTACTACTTTAAGAGTATGGTTAGGCTAGACACATTTATTAATAATAAGAGCAACCATGGGAAAAGCAATCATACTCATTCCTGATAAGGTGAGAGTTTTCTATTTACAAAACCTGGCAAATTTCTAAAAAATTACTAACACAAAGTTTTTGAAAATAATAAAACTAGTCCAATTCATGTAATGTCAAGTAACTTTTAATGATAATAGACTCATTTATATTCTTATAGTGTCTTATAGCATATGTTATCTCTAGTGAGAGAATGTACCAAAATCAAAGTGCTAAATCCTGAAACCTTAAGCCAAATGTTACAAGTTAAAGACTAAATGTTGGTCAGGAGGGAAAGAATGGAACAATGCATCTTCCACAAAGAAAGTGAAAGTCAACAGCAAGACAACAGAAATGTTGAACCTGTGAGTACAACCACACTTTTCTGTATAAAAGCAATACAAAACATACACGCACACAGAAATTATGATTACAATGCAAACCATCATATGTCCATGATTTCTACTAGCTGGTGTACCTGTTATTAAAATTTCAAAGAAAAAAATCCACTTAAGCTTTTTCTATTTTAATCTGTAGAAATATTCAGGAACAGATGAATACAGCATTTGTTGCACATTAATGAATATGTGGCTTCTTGTGCTTTCCATCCAAATTAGGAGCACTTTATTTTTTCTCTATCTCCAGGAGCACTTTATTTTTATGAGATGTAATTGTAGTGTTATATTAAGCAGCTACACAAAATCAATCCTTCCTTCAGCCCAACTCTATATGAAAGGCACTAACAGTAAAGATTCTTGATGTGTGAAAATGATGACTCATAACGATGTAGATTCAGCTATAGATTTTAATTCAGAAATATATATATGTGCCTGTATATGACAACTGTAGGAAAATAGTCTCAAAGATAAAGACACCACTTGAGTGCTGGCTGGTTAGCTCAGTTGGCTAGAGCATGGTGCTGACAACATCAAGGTCAAGGGTTTGGATCCCTGTACCAGCCAGCCACCAAAAAAAAAATAAATAAATAAATAAATATATAAATAAATGAAGACAATAAGTGAGATGTAAAGCATCCCATTTTTCCTGGTCCTGCATTCTATTACAGGGAAAATAAGTCTCTTGATGCTTCATAAATACTTTTAAAAGTTTGGAATGGCCTATACCGTGCGTAATCTCCACCAGTCCTTTGGAGCTTCCAGCATTTCTGGCTGTTTCAGCTCTGGAAGAGTTGTACCCTGTAATCAGTTATGCTTACTTATGCTTTGTCTTTTCTAGATCTGGGAGTTTTCTGACCAGATCCTAGTGGTTCATTCTGATGCTAGTGAGTCTTTAAATATGTTTAACACATGGTACAGCTAGACTGCATATGGCCTGAGTACCAGTCCTACTTGAAAAAATGGGGCTGGCCAATTAGTGCAGTGATTTAGAGTACCACCTATAAGGTCAAGGTCAAGGTACCAGTACTGGCCACCCCCAGGGAAAAAAAAAAAACTTGAGAGGAGGAAGGGGGGTAAGTAGTAATTGAGTAAGGCACACAAAAAGTAATTATGATTTGTAATGATGAACATGCCAATAATGTTTTTGCTCACATACTGTACACAAATACTGACAGTCAACTCTGTTCCCCATACATATGTATAAATTTTTAAAATAATAATGAAATCTGTGCCCCATTGAAAAAATGAGAAGTGTCCTTTTAACATGAATTATTTCTACATTCTGCATGAATAATCTATGTGGTGGTGATTTTTGTTTTTTAACAGCATAAAGAATCCTGACTTCCAATCCTGTCCTCACAAGGCATGTGATCTTGAGAAAATCACTTAAACTCTGAGCTTATTAGCTCACCTGCAAAAATGGGGACAACACGCCCCTGCCACCTTCACAGGGTTATAAAAATAAATGACCAAAGGAAGAGCTTGCCAATAGAATCTAGAGTTGTGACCATTAAACCTCCAGTGGCACATAATAGGTGCTGAATAAATATTTGTTGAATCAACGAGAGGGAAGTATTTGGTAAATTGTAAAGCATAGTGTTGATGTGAAAGATGTAGAGTAACTGATAAAAGATGAGGCAGAGCAGGAAACATTGAGAATTAAGGATTTGTGGGTTGTTTCCTTATGTGAATTCATATGTGAATTAGCAAAAGGACAGCAAATTATATCCTTCAGAAAATAACCAACACTTCGAATGTGGAAGAAAGTTTGTGTAAAAGTTGAGCTAAAATTAGTAGCATTTGGAAATTGGCACTGACTTTAAAATGTCAAATGTTGATTTTTGAACACATCTGATTTGTTGCTTTGTGTTGCTTCGCCCCCCACAGATTTTTCACCCCACTTCCCCTGGGTGACAGAGATGCAAAGGATTACTCAAAGCCCATCTCTTCTAAACAGTGAGAAGCCCTGAAGTGGTTAACCTCCCGGGGACCCTCCAGCAAGAGGGATCCCTTCCTCGGGAAATTAATGCTGAATTGGGGTTCTCTTCCTGCATTTACTTTCCAGACCAGGAAGTTACAGGAAGAGAACAAAGGTGGGGTTATAGTTTAACAATATAGGTTGGTAACTTACAAGCCAGATGACATCCCAGTAAACAATTAAGTGATCTTACAGCAATTTCTCAGTATCTTTATATAACAATCAGTTACTAGTCTGTCTTTGAGCCAGCAACACTGCTGTGCCACAATTCTTATCTTGCAACAGAGACTCACTAGCCTGGGGAAAATTTCCTGTCCTTGCAACGTCAATATTTGAAACTGCAAGACTTTGGAAAACCAGGCCCTGTGAAGTACACATGCTTTTTAGTATATTCCACACTGATTAATGTCCTTTTGAGAACACCTTGCTAGGGACTTGAGATAAAGAGTTTTTTGTTTGTATTTTGTTTTGTTTTGTTTTTGAGTTCTGGGAGGATTTGAGTATAAGAACCTAGAGTCACTGTTCTGAGAATAGTTTTGGGTTCTTGAACCATATAGGAAAAAGACATTTGGGAAGATTTCTAGCATGGTTTTGGTTTTCGAGCTGCATTCCTCAGTGGACGAGGATGTAATTCCCCTATCCTCTTTGGGGGGTCAGTTGGCCAATACGGAGACTTGAACCCCTGACCTTAGTGTTACCAGCACCACACTCTAACCAACTGAGCTAACCAGCCAGCCCGTAATTTTCCCTTTGAATTTTATTCACCTTAAGGAAAATGTAGGACTTTATGATAGAATTAAGAATAATGAAATGTCAGTTTTAAGTTCAGAGTGCTAACATGGACAGAAATGATCTTTTGCCTTGATGGTCATTGGTGGCACTAATGAACTCTAATAAAAGCACAACACTTTGTTCCTAAATACAATTTTTTTACACCTTAAAAAATTTCTATTCCATTTGATTCATTCAACCCAAGTGTGTATGTAAGTCTATGCCCTGGGCTGTTGATTTCTTTTAATTAGCACTGTTGTCTATAGTGAAAGGGAATTTTTTTTCATTAGGAAATGTAGGAAATAAATTCTCCTAGCTCGAGATGGCTTGTATTACCATTGGATTTCAGTTAGCTGGAAATGTTACTTGTGCAAGTGCTTGCTTTGGTAATGTCAGACAAATTAGTTATTATATATAAACTATTCTATTCACTGAAAAGCCTACTTGGATTTTTCTTTCAGTATCTTGTATTTTACTCAAAGAAGCATATTTAATATATATAAATGAAGACTTTGAAATACTAAATAGGCTTTGGTTCTGTGTGAAAAACCTAATTATATAGGTTACTCAAAGAATCTTTCCTCTGTTTATAAACTTAGAAAGGTTTGCTTTTATTTTTTTAAAAAGATGACCTGTAGGGGCCGGCCCGGTGGCGCACTGCTACAGTGTGCCGCTTGGGAAGTGCGGCGGCGCTCCCGCCGAGGGTTCGGATCCCACGTACGGACTGGCCGCTCACTGGCTGAGCGAGGTGCGGGGGCAACACCGAGGGTTGTGATCCCATTGCCGGTCCCGGTCTGGTACGGGCGTGACACTGAGGGTTGCGATCCATTGCTGGTCACAAAAAAAGAGACAAAAAGGAAAAAAAAAAAAAAAAAGATGACCTGTAAGGGGACCTTAACCCTTGACTTGGTGTTGTCAGCACCACACTCTCCCAATTGAGCCAACTGGCCATCCCTATATAAGGATCCGAACCCTTGGGCTTGGTGTTATTAGCACCACACTTGCCCAAGTGAGCCACGGGCCGGCCCAGGAGGAAGTAACTCTTCAGCTGCTGTGACACTGCTGAGGCCTCTGGGTGCCAGAGCATCATTCTTACCTCTGAAGAATTTAGTTATCACTGCTGTCACATTGGAAAAGCGGAGAGGTGCTGTAGATAATACCCCTCAGATTTAAAGATTTACAGGATACAATGGGAGAAGCAGGTTAATGAAGGAGACAGGTTTTCCATCAAAACTGATGATATGTGATTTATCTGTCTCCTTGCAGGATTAAATGAAAGCATACAAGGATATTTCAAAAAGTTCATAGAAAATGGAATTAAAAAATAATACAAATCCTTCTATGAACTTTTGAAGATCCCTTATATACATAAAGTATGCAGCACTGGGCAAGGTACATTATGGGTGCCAGCCAATGTCAGGTCGGTGCCTCCAGAGTTAGAGTGAGGTATGTCTGGGTGACTTGGGTGCAAGAAGCACAGCTCACAAATCTTTCTGCAATGTCTTCATGAACTGATGGGCTGATTCAGTTGATGTTTTCATTACTGTCCCTAAGGGGCACAGATTGCCCCATGTATTAATTACCAGTTAGGTTTTCTCTGGGTTTCAGTGACTTCTCCTGAGACAGCTTCAGGGGATGATGTGATGATGATCTCATGTTTTTTTTCCACTGCCAGTGACTTTAACTCCCTAAAGAATCTCCTGCCTCCTTGTCTGAATTAGGTAAATAAACCTGCCCTAATTTAAAGGCCAGAGTTTTGTCATTTGTGTCTATTTTTCCCATCTTAAAATTTCCTTAACTGTGTACTTTTTGTGTGTATACAAAATAATATTATAAAGGTGAAACAATACAAAAATGAATAATCTGCACCCAACCAGTGATTATGGCCTGTTTTGTGTGCTTCTTGTTCACCATGCCCATATAAATATATATAAATTTGATGAATATATATTTTTCCTTTTTTACTAATGTGGGTTTATACATTTTTTTTTTCCTTTTTGTCTTTTTTTCATGTCCGGCAACGGATCGCAACCCTCAGTGTCGCGCCCGTACCACACCGGGACCGGCAACGGGGTCGCAACCCTCAGTGCTGCACCTGCACCTCGCTCAGCCAGTGAGCAGGAACTGGTCTGTATGTGGGATCCGAACCCTCGGCGGGAGCGCCACCGCGCTCCCAAGTGGCGCACTGTAGCAGTGCGCCACCGGGCCGGCCCGGGTTTATACATTTTTTAATACATATTTTACGGGCCGGTCCGTGGCTCACTCGGGAGAGTGCGGTGCTGATAACACCAAGGCCACGGGTTCGGATCCCATATAGGGATGGCCGGTTTGCTCACTGGCTGAGTGTGGTGCTGACAACACCAAGTCAAGGGTTAAGATCCCCTTACCGGTCATCTTTAAAAAAAAAAAAAAAATACATATTTTACACACGCATGTAACTATTCACTCAACAGAATATAATAGAAATCACTCAAGGTCAGTAGCTATAAACTATTTAATTTTAATAATATCATATTCTATAGTATGGATTTACCATTGATTATGTGATTATTCTCCTATAGATAGACTCATGCTGTTTCTTTCCTTTTTCCCCTATACTAACAATACTGTACTCATTGCTTTTGTACATATATCCTTTGGTGCTTTTATGTGTTCCGATGGATAGACTCAAAAGTAGAATCGTTGGGTTAAAAGATCTGTATTTTTAATTTTAATAAATGCTGATGCGTTTTCTAAGATACTGTAGCAATTCAATTCCCATCAGCCACAGATGAGAATGCATCTACTGCATCTCCCCCTCCCTCTCTATGATGTCAACTTTTTGCCACATGCTTGTTAAAAAAAATCTTTGAAATCAGACAACTTTACTAGTTTATGTCTGACTGTTGATTATTCTTTGTCATTGGTTCACCTGGTTCACTGCACCCTTTCTGTAAATTCATCTTTTATTTCTTCATTATTTTCTTGAGTATATCTAAATATTTGCTCTGTTCCATTTTTTTGGTTCTCTTCGTCAGGACCCTAATTATGTACGTGTTGCTTTTCCTTTGTCTGACTTTAATAGCTGTCGTTTTCCTTTCTTTGCTCACTCTTCTCTGTCTTGCCCTCTAAATTCCACACCATGTTTTCAGCCTCCTCTGTTGTTTCCAACATGGCGTTTATTTCTATGATGCTTTTTGTTTTTGTTTTTTTAAAGATGACCGGTAAGGGGATCTTAACCCTTGACTTGGTGTTGTCAGCACCACGCTCTCCCAAGTGAGCCACGGGCCAGCCCGACGATGCTTTTGGTTTTTGTTTTTAAATTCAGTTAGTTACATTTCAAGTGTGGAATAGCCACATGTGGCACGCAGCTACTATATTGGACAGTACGGCTTTTATACTTCTTTATAGTTCTGCTGACTTGACTTGCTCCCTTATTCTCTACACTGCCCCATTCCCCAAGGCAACTCTGAGGAAATGTAAGGCTTTGAAACAATTTGAAAGCCACTGCAATAGTAAAACCACATCATGGATGAGATGAGTTTCATGTGGAAATGACCAGGGAGTCTGTAACCTGTGGCTGCAAGGTTTGGGGATTTCCCCTGCCCAAACTCTATCAAGGGGACTGGATGGACTCTGGGACAGACAGCTAAGATTATAAAATGCTAAAAACCTTATCAATTGAATTATAAGGAGTGTCTGAGGAAAGCCTATGTGGGTAGTAGGGTGGTCTTCCTGCTGCCTAGAAAAAGGGAGTTCCTGTGCCATGAAGGATCACTGTCTCCAATGTTGTCCCAGAAGAGGAGCTGTGACTGGCTGATATATAACAGTCTGTCCCTGCAGCAGAAATAGGAGCTCCGGATAGTTGTAGCTCCCTGACCCTGACCCCTAATTTCCCTGGCTCTGATCCCAACCTCTCCAAGCAGCTTTCAAGTGATAACTCTCTTGAAGAGATTTCCCAAAGGAACAGAATGTACTCAGTAGAGGGTACCACTATGCAGTCTATTTGGCAGGTGTGTTCTTCACTCAAATTCATAAGTTGGCATCTCGATGAGAAATTAGATCTTGCCAATTGCTCAGCCCAATTTCATTTTCAAAAACACTGACTACATGGGATTTTGAAAAGCTGCAGAGTTAAGGGAGGTACTCGGGACCATGTGATTCCACATGGCATTGACCTGGGAATCCTGAGTACCCAGCTGTCTCCCCCCTTCCCCCCGCCCCCATAACAGCACACTCTGGCCTGAGCTAAACTCTTTAAGATATGAGGGGATTAAGCCTAAGGAATAAATCTGAGAAGACGAGGAGGAGGATCAGTGTGTGTGAGACTGGCAGTCTGGCACTGCAGAACAGATTTCCTAATAGTGCTGTTGACTTCAAAAAGAATTAATTCCCTTCTTCCAATTACGTGTGGCTTTCTGTTGCTGCATTATAGTGCCACCTCTTGGATGTAAATTGAAACTCTAGCTTCAAAGTTTTTAGTCTCTAGTCACATGCATTAAAACAATCTGAATTTGAGACCATGGTAGGTTGTAAAATTCAAATTCTGCATTACAGTTAAGGAATTACTTAACCAAATCCTGGAATCTGTAAGAGGGGGATGCTAGCAGCCCACAGCCCAGAAAACTGCCTCCTCAAGTTTATGAGTTTTTAGCTGTTTGGAACTTTAAACACTGCAAAGGTGCCACCTACGTCCTCTGGTTCTCTCCCCATCTCCTAAGCAAGAGAAAAGTGTACAATGGCCTACAGGAATCAGGAATCCAAAATCTCTATTCCTGCCTTCAGGGCAGAATGAGCCAGGTTTTTCTTTCCCAGGTTCTGTCAACATACAGTGTAGGCAAAGCACTTAGCAGTGTCTGGCAAGTACTGGCACCCGAGTTAATAATTAATCCTTGTTGCAGGAGTAATTTTTATCAAGGTAGCAGTGACAGACAACAGATACAGTACTAGAACTTCACCTAACTGGTCACCATAGTTGGATAAAGTGTCTTTCAAATTTCATTCATGAGCTGCCTCTAAGCCAGGAACTTCAGGACAGCACAGGATTAAAAAAAGGCAATGTAAACAGATCACTTTTTAGATTTTCTAGCCAGTATTCTCTTAAAGTTAATGGGGGTGGGCAAATCTAAAATCATATTAGACAATTGTTATGGAGGTTAGAGATTTTGTGTCCTTGGTGCTGGGTCACTGGATCCACCTCAGTATTCTTGGGGGAAGACCAAGGCCCAGCTGAAGAAAGCTGCATTAACTGAACTTCTACAGCAGGTCAGGGTACCCTGGCCTTAGCTATGATCTGTCATTAGTGGGGAACAGGCCTGTGGGGGACAAGACGGTGTTAGACTGTTGGAGACTACCTTATTTGCAGGGGAAGAAGGCAATCATGTTCTGGAATAAGGTCCTGGGCCAATTCCCGTCTCTGTCAATAGTTTTTGATCATAAAGTGTCACTGGAATGTATCTTCTTTGTTCCAAGATATTATGTTTCTCAAAAAACCTGGATTAGGCAAAAGTTTCCATGTTAAAATACGGCCATTTAAAATGAAGTAAATAGATTATTGTAGTGGAAATTGTTGGTTCCTTTCCGGCATCCATTCTTCTCTTTGTAACTTTTCTCAATTGTTTTCAGGTATCCACTCTTTGCTCATTCCTTTGCCTCTGAATATGCTGAACCCATCTTTAGCTCTAAATGGGCCTTATTTGGCCTAAAACAATTAGGGTTATTCTCTTTTCTTTTTTCAACACATCCAATTTGTCAGCACCACACTCGCCCAAGTGAGCTAACCAGCCATCCCTACATGGGATCCGAACCCGTGGCCTTGGTGTTATCAGCACCGCACTCTCCCAAGTGAGCCACAGGCCGGCCCTAACACATCCAATTTGTCTGGAAGGATAATTCTCTTTTCTAGTCACTGGCTTAGGTAACTTATGTTAATAGCATGGCATTCTCTGACCACAGGGACTGGGTTAGAAACTTCATGTGACCTAATTTGGGCTGAGATTTAAGGGGAGGCTGACTGAGAGCTTATGGAAAAGAAATACCAGAGCTCTTCTGAACAATCTTTTTTCCTACTATAGGGGGTCATATGTGGATGTTAAACCTGAAACCATGGCCTTTTGCCTCCACGAAGGAAGCAGGCCCAAGGATGAAGCTGGCACTGTTAAAGTGTCAGGGGAAGGAAAGAAAGCGGGTCCTTTATGACATCACTTAGCTGCTGAATCAAACTAACCACTAAGTACACCCTGCCTCTGGACTTTCCAGATGTGTAAGCTAATAAATCCTTTTACTGCTTAAGCCAAATGGAGTTGTGTTTCTGTAACTTGTCAAAAAAAGCATCCTAATAGTGATCCATGTCGAAACCACAAAAAAAATGCTTTTATAGCACACTGGAACACTGTTGAAAAAGAGAGAGAAAAGTTCTTAAGCCAAAACCATGTAAAACCAAAGCACATTTGGAGGCAGTAAGGCACAGTAGTTTAGAAGACAAGGGAGCTGAGCTTAAACCTGAGCTGTGCCATTAATGTGCACTGTGATCTTGGACAATCGACCCACCTAGACAAGAAAAGTCTTTGGTTCCTATCAACAAAATAAGAGTTGTGCTAGATAAGTGGTTTCCAGCTCTTTTACCATCAAGAATTTTTATTATTGGTTCTTGTGGATTTTGTGTTCTTAATGATTTTTTTCAATACATTTTTCTCACGTTCTTATTAGACAAAGCATACAACTGATCAGCAAAGGTAATTATTTACCTTACTAAATTAGTAAACCTGCACCAAAGCATAAGCCCCTTCGAATTTGATCTGGTCGGCCACAGCAGAAGAATCTTGGCAAGTACAACATGAAAGATGGAAAATGAATACATGAAGCATCTGCCTCGGGACTGCCCACCTCACGTAATAACTTCGTATAGCATACATTATATTTGATAATTGCAAGTTACCACTGAGGAGGATGAAAATTCAGTGACTTCTCAAAAAAAAATTAATATTAAAAAACAAGTCTTGATTATTCATTTACTTTTTCACAAAATTGGCAATATAGTTTTTAAAAGATGTAAAAAGATTTTTTTGCATTTAGATAAGCATCCTAAAATATAAGGTAAGACTACAAAGCAGTGTGATAGGTTTTTCTCTGTAACTTGTAAGCTGGATTGGAAGGCAATTCCCAGAATTCCAGAAATTGTGGAGACATGTTTACTTTAATGTGCAATCATGATAAACTGCATTTAACCAGGAGTCAAAGGACCTGGGTTCTAGTTGGCATCTTGCATGATGTGATCTTGAATTCAAGTCTCTCAGCTTCTGGATATCAGAACCCCCATAACAGAACAGAAGGAGTTAAATCAGGTCATCTTGAGTATCCTTTCCAGCTCTGTTATTTTGTAATGCCATGAAATCAGAATAACATGTTCCAAGCTGTTTGTGGTCAGGGATTTTAGAACCTGTTTTTCTCATTGTACTTTTAAAATTTCTACCTTTTTTAGTCTTATTCTTATGTGAATATACATATATTTTTCTCCCATGTTCTTCTGTGCATTTAAATATATTTTTCTATTCAATAGCATCTTCATCACTAGCAATAAAAAAGTTTCCCAAGTATGTATTTTTTTGCTTTTTTAAAGATGACCAGCAAGGGAATCTTAACCCTTGACTTGGTGTTATCAGCACCACAGTCTCCCAAGTGAGCCACAGGCCGGCCCTACCAAAAATGTATTTTTCATGTTTTGTTTTTATTTTTTTTCAGCTTCCTTTTTTAACTTCTCCAAGACCTCTTCTGGAGTTGCAGAGGCCAAGAGCTTCACAACCTTTTCACGAGATTTACCACCCTGGACCAAAAAGAAAAAAACATGCTATACATTCTAATGTTAGACAGCATACCTCAGTTGTACCCATTGCAGCCATGTCCACAGGGGGTTGTTACAGATGGGCTTTCCTGATGGCTTAGGTACCCCTTTCTCCTGGCCACTTCTGGTCTAACCAAAGACTATCTCTTAGATTCTACCTTATTACAAATTTTTACAACTCTCCAGGGTTTTTACCTTCAGACATCAATTTCTACAATATAAAAGCTGGGCATTAAGCTTTCAAAATGAATATGGAATCCAGATTCACAATATTCTAGATTCAAGTAATTATTTTGTTTAAATTAAAAATGAAAATATTTTTAAAATGCCAAAATAAATATTGCAATTTTATATAAACCTTTATAAAAATAATTCTAAATACAGACAATATAGTCTCTATATTGTTACACATTTCTGAAAATTCCAAATGAAAAGCAACTACACATCCAAGTGCTGTAATTTCAGTCACTTAAAACAACTTTAGGGCCGGCCCGGTGGCGCACTGGATAGTGCGCCGCTTGGGAAGCGTGGCGGCGCTCCCGCCCGAGGGTTCGGATCCCACATACAGACTGGTTTCCGCTCACTGGCTGAGCGAGGCGCGGGAGCAACACCGAGGGTTGCGATCCCGTTGCCGGTCCCTGGTCCGGTACGGGGGCAACACTGAGGGTTGTGATCCGTTGCCGGACACGGAAAAAGACAAAAAGACAAAAAAAAAACAAAAAAAAAAAACCAACTTTAAAAAGGACTTTCTTTCAAACACATCCTTTAAAGAAGATAAAATCTGAGCAGAGATTTATCTAGATAGGTAGAATCTGCACAGGTAGAAGAGTGCAGAGTGCCTTTTAGGCAAATGTCAGAGCATGAGCACTTGATGGAAGATCAGAAATGGCCTACCACAGGAGGGGAAGGTGAGGGAGGTGGCTCGATCCAGAGGTGGATTTTTAGGTGCAGTCTATGAACCAGTGACTCTGAATGCCAGAGAGAACCCAGAGGAGCTATATAGTGTAGCACTGAAAAACACATAGAGCATTAAGAAATATAAACATAGCTGGGCCCCACTCTAAAGATTCTATTTTAACAAGTCTGGGGTGATGCCCAGGAATCTGTATTTAGAAATCATTCCAAGGTGATTTTGATACCTATCCCTAGTGCAAAACCATGGCATTAATGACTTCATATGAAACTTCTATCTTCCTAATGAGCTTTTGTTAGTGAGCAAGGACAATGTGGGGAGATGACACACAATAGAAACTGTTTTAGATTTTTTAATGTGCTGATAATTTGAAGAAAGAGGTGATAAAATTAATCTGACCGCAGGTTCAGGAATGAATTTAGAAAGGAGGAAATGCTGGAAATGGTGGCATCTAAGGAAAATAAGTGTAGTGTGAACAGTCTGAATTATGATTGAGGCAGCAAGAATGAAGGAGACTAAATAGGAAGGATTCACAGACTTTTGTGATTAAATGAATAAGTTAAAAACAACTAGTTTTCCAATTATTTGGGAAAAAATCAGCATTTAATAAATTAAGATTGATGTGTAATCAAAAATGTTTAGAAAGAGAGCAAGACCTACCTTATCCAAAACCACATCACTCTTTTTGAGTTCTAAGACCTTGGAAAGGTAGCGACAGAGCTCAGCATTAGCCTCTCCCTCTAACGGAGGTGCTGCAATAGCTACATTTACGGCTTCAGTTGTCAAATCTGGAATGAAAACAGTGTGGATTTTATCCTGAAGGAGTTCTTTTTCTTCATAAAAGAGTTTGCGTTTCCCTAGCCCACAGTAGATTTTTAACTAATAACTGACGAAAGAAGAAATTAATGATTAATCATAGTTAAGGTAACATAAACATGGCAAATACATATCTACCATTACAGAAAATAAATCCAGAGAAGAAAACTGATATTTACCCTACCCTGCTGACCAAGATGGGCCTACAGAGTCCTGGGGAGTATCCTGGATTTAGGCAACTAGAAATTGTACTTGGTCTGAGAGGAAGGGCCCCAGGCTGGGAGTCAGAGGAGCTGGGCTTCAGCCCCAGCAATGTCATGGATGAGGAAGTGCATGGACAAGGCAGCTCACTGGATTGTCCAGGGTTGTTCAGGGTTTCATCAGGGAAATAAGAGCTCTGGGCTAGGTTCATCTCGTATGTGACAGGCATCCTGAATGTTTTTAAAATTTAATAATGTTTATTTAATATTTACATAGCAATAACTATACACTAACTTTAACTGCACACAAACATGTTTTAAGGGCTTTAATATTAACTTGTTTATTCCTCATAATGACCGTATGAAGATATTAGTACCATTATCGTCTCCATTTTACAAATGAGGAAATTGGAATCAAGAAGTAATGTGCCCAGTGTCACATGGCAAGAAAGTAAGATTGTGATTCAGAAATAAATTTCGACTCATGATTTAAAATCCAGGAACAAATATCATTGTTTTTTAAAAGGGGTCCAGACTCCCCCATCAATACAGTCTTTCTAAAGAGTAATCTGCCTGTAGTCCTCCATTGTTACTACAGATGAGCAGGCATTTCTGCATTCTTATACCCCATCTGTGTAAACAACATGGCCATATAACCTACAAGAATGAGGTGGTAAAACAACCATCCTCCCATCCTGTCACTGATTCTAAGATGCACAGTTTTTCATATTTTAACAGCTTTGAAATCAAGATTTGTCTTATAATAGATGGGAAAAAAAGTGTTTAGTTGCTATGGATTTTTTTCTTATTTACTGGTCCATATAATACTTGTGTACATTATAATCAATGCCATCTCAGATTTGATAAAACATAATATTCTAATAGTAGACAGTGCCCACAGCAACTGCTTAGAAAATGCTGGCCAAAGAGGGTACAGCCAACGAAGACAAGCTACCATGGCCATTAGCACAAATCAGGCCTACCACACCAATTCTGGGGTCTTGTTTTCAAAATTTAAAAATAATTTGGAATACAGAGCTTTAGAGGTGAAAAAGACTTTCAAGATAATTCAGATCAATGGCTTCCAATTTTTTTTTCCTTCAGAATCCCCCCTTGTTTCCAATTTTCTCAGGACTCCCAATAATGCCAGAGTAGAAGGGGTTTGGGAAGGCCCAGTATTTGGCCTTAACCCATCTCGTCCTCTTACCAGGTTCTTGACTCTGCCACAGGAAGGAATTTGAGCAGAGTCACAGTAGACAGTGAGAACAGGTTTAATGCAACAAATAGGAAATGCAGATTTCACAGAGAGAGCACCGCCTAGCTCCAGAGACCCAGCAGGGCTCGCACCAGATTCAATACAAAAGAAATACCCCCTTAAAGTCTAGTACGGAGCGCAGGCTAGCTCAAGAGAGTGAGCAGTTGCTGGCCGAAAGTTTGATACAAAAGAAGGCACATGCACCTCAGTGAAGTGCAGGGTGGCCCCAGGAAAGTGAGCAGCAACCCTGCGTTAGGCCGGGATTCCGCTTTTATAGTCTCGCTTTCTAATACATATTAAGGCTATCTAATGAATATAAATTCCACTTTGCCGAGCATGCTTGGCCATTAGGGTCATATAACCCCTTTCTACTGAGCATGCCCAGCTAGTGGATTTGCAAAAGCCAACCCCCCCCCCCCCCCCCAGGTCTCACATTGGTCTGAAAATAGATTCAACTTCTAACAGTAACTCTTCCCTAGGGGAGGGCCCTGAGACCTTAAGGAAAGGCTTGAAACCCAGAGGCCTGTCTTGAAACCTGAACCCATGGAGGGAAACTGAGCACCTCCCATCTCACCAACAATTGAAACAAACGTAAACAGAGCTAGTCGGGAGCCCTGTCTGCCTTTTCTCCCCCTTGCCCAAAGCAAAGATTCCTGAGGCACCTCTAGGGCCCCAGGGAATAGCTTGAAAGCCTCTAATTTAGTCCAAATATCTCATCTGACAGGTGAAAAAATTAGGCCCAGAAATGTTTTATATTGTTTTGATTTAAAACAAGTCCACACAGGAATTCATCAGGGGTCTCTGACCTCAGGTTTCTCTCCCTCCTTAGGCCAGTGACCATTAAACTAGACCAAAATGTCTCTTCTTTATCTGGCCAATGTCTCCAGTTTTGGAATGGGACAAACTAACAATCTAGGCTATACATATGTTTCCATACGTGTCCTTTCTAATATACCATTTTTTTTTTTTTTCCTTTAAAGATGACCGGTAAGGGGATCTTAACCCTTGACTTGGTGTTGTCAGCACCACGCTCTCCCACGTGAGCCATGCATTGGCCAGCCCTGTAATATACCAAATTTTTAAAAAGGAAAATATACAACAGTTTTTGTCTTAAATTGGCATGATTTAAATATCGTATATTCACTTTCAAATACCTTTACATTAGAATCTAGAATTTTAAAATGGAAAAGCCTCTATCTGCAGATGTGAAAAATACGCTCGACTATCATAGGATAAACTTTCAGCTAACCAAGGCAAAAGGAGGATGGAGGGGAGACCTGATTCATACGCGAATCCCATCCCAGTGCCCAGATATACCTGTTACAGCATTTTGTTTGGAGCCAGGTTTGGCATGGATGGCTATGACGACACAGCCTTTAGGATCAACTGTCACAGGACCTAAGGCAGGAAGTGGTCTCTCCGGTTCTCTGCTCTGGCTTTTACCCTAAAATGACAATAACCACACAACTTTACAAAATATTTTTACAGGTTACAAAATATTTTACAAAACTTTACAGGTTACAAAGTATTTTGCCACACATTTAATTTGATCCTTCCACTACTCCTTCCACCTTTAACCAAGACAAACTAGGCTAATCGATTAGTCGTGTCTAGGTACTTCTGGCACATAGAATGCTTTTCCCACGTCCTTCAAGGCTCAAATCAATTCTTCCATGAAGCTTTCCCATCAACCCCACAGTGTTTCTTCCTGTCTTGGAAGAAGTCCTGATTCTGGCTTCCATACCTCAGTGCTGGTTCCTACCGTTTGCTTTGTACTTCCAATTCCTAAGGGGCGTCTTTGTTATTATTATTCATGTTTGCATCCCATGCAGCGGACCTAGTAAGAACTAAGGCTACAAGTGTGCATGTGTGTGTGTTTGGAGGGAGGAGGGGAGAGGAAGGAACAATAATGATTAATATTTAAAGGCCTACTATGTGACATAAGCAGTGCTAAGATCTTTAATTTACTCAACAAATATGAACTAAGCAATGGATATGTAAAGATGAATAAGGACACATGGTCCTTGCTCTCAAAGAGCTCGCGCTGCAGCGACAGAGAAAGAACAAACCTAGTTTTAACACACTGTGCTAAGTGCACCGATGAGATTCGCCCCGGACATTACTGCACACAGAGGAGGGGAAGGCAGCCCGGCCTTGGGACATCAGGGAAGCTGCCAACAGGAGGCAGTGCGTGAGCTGAGTCTGAGAAACGGGTTGGAGTTAGCCATGCACAGTTGGTGGGAAGGAAGGGGAAGCGGTGTACTCCTGACAGGGATGCCACCAGGCAAGGAAGGCGGTAGAACGCAGAACAGAGTTCCCAAGGAAGCACCGGCGTCACGGCGCTGCTGGAACCTCAAGTGCTAGCCTGGGAGTGCATGAGGGGGCGGGGAGGTCGGCAGACGCAGCCCAGCCAGAGCCTCGGGAGGCAGAGCGAGGGCCGCAGGAGCCCCAGGTCTGGGGCTTAGGGGCGGCTGTCCGGAGCCCCGGAACTGAGTGACAACTGAGTGACAACAGCGGTGTCTTCCACCCAGCCGCAGGTTGCGCATCTCTTCCGCGCTCCTCAAAGAGCAGCCCTACAGCCCACCCTTTCACCGCCACGGGACTTGTTTACTGGCCTTCTTCGTCGCACCAACTTGTTTAGGCATCTCGGGGCCAGAAAGGAGCCGAGCGGAGGCCCGAGCGCCGGGTCCTCCCCGGAGCTGTTTCAGCCCGCAGCCGCGCTGCAGCATCGCCCCCTGCGGAGGCGCCGGAAGCGCCCTCTGCGCCTGCGCACGAAGCGGGCGGAGGGGCCCGGCGCCCCGAGCATCTGCCGAGGCCCGAGGGCGGCCCCTTGCGGCCGGCGGAAGGGAGTCCTGTTGCACCAGAACCGGTGCGCGCCCCTCTCGTACGGCAGACGAGGATGGGAGCTGGGGTCCGATCATGCTATGACCCACCCCCTCAGCTGGTGGGGTGGTCTCTTTCTCACCGAGGTGAAAAAAAGGTATTGTCACTTCTCAGGATTGGAGTGAGCGGCAAAGAGTGCACAGAGCCAGTTGTCTCTTCACGCCTGCAGTCAACCAGCAAGTGCAGAGTCCCAAATGCTTCCTGTGGTCCACAAGCCGATGTAGAGCCTGGTGCCGGCTTGGCCATGGGTACATTCCGCTATCGATGGCGCACCTTCCTTGTACCAGGCGTGGAGGATCCCACAGTGTAACAGCAAATACACTGCAACATGTGACATGGCAAGACATGGAACTCGAGAAGTCAGCGGAGGAAAGATCATGGAGTCACTGAAGAGTTTGAAGCTATGGGTAAGCACGGTCCAATTTGTTGTTTTAGAAAGACCTCTAGCTGCAGTGTAGCCAATAGAGGAAAAGCAGGAGGTAGGAGATCTGACACCTAAATGGGAGATGGTGGCCTGAACCAGAGTAGCGGCAGCGGGTATGCAGAGCTGATCATGTCAAGTATATTCAGGAACTGGAATATTCAGAGCTTGGGGAGTGACAATGTGGAAATAGAAGCGAAAAGTCAAGGAAGATGCCCAAGAAACAGTTGGGAGTCTGAGGTGAGGAGTTCAGTTTTGGACATAATGAATTTGAGATGCCTGTGGGATATCCAATTAGAAATATTAAGGGGGTAACTGAATATATGTAACTGAAGCTTGAGAGATCTAGGCTGGGGATATAGAGTCTGAAGTCCTCTAAAAATAGATGGCGATTGAAGCCATGGAGATGAATGAGAAAGGCTTAGAGTGTGCAGAGCAGGGGCCCCAGGACAGACCCTAAGGGCAGGTACAGAGATCACCAAAGGACATTGACCAGAAGTAGGAGTGTGGTGTAATGTCTGCTAAGGGAGGGTGCTTCAAGAGGGAGTACTCAACAGTGATGAATGCCACAGAGAGGACATGTGAAATAAGGACTGAGAAGTGTCCACAGATTTAGGAAAAAGAGTAGTGTTCGTTACCCAGGCAGGAGCAGTTTCAGTGGAGAGGAAATGGAGGTAAGTGTAGAGAATAATTCAGTGACTTCATTGTGAAGCAGTAATTGGGCTCATGAGGTTTAGAGATTATTTATTTTTTCAACTGAATGAGAGTTAACCATATTTTATGGTTGACAGGAATAAGCCAGTAGAGGAAAGGTTACAGGAGAGGAGGGGTTCCTAAGGTGGCGGGGTCTGAGCACGAGTTGAGAGACTGACATGTTTACAGAAAACCTTAGATACTCCTTTCATAAGAGAAGGGAAAGGTTAGGCGCACATATAGGTTTTGTGGTAGGAGTTGGGATTTCTTTCATTAGCTAGGAGTGGGGAGGTGCTGAAGGTGTGAAGAGAAACAGATTTAACAGAGGGACTCCGGAGAATGTCAAAGACATTGAAAACTCACCTTGCAGCACTGACAGCCTAGTTGAAGCTGGAAGCCATGAGATCATCATGATCTCAATCTATATATCATTTCAAATGCCTGGAACTCAACAGCCATAGAGTTGAAGATAAGGCAGACAACTGGATTTATCCAGGTCTATATGAGAGGGCTGAGGGTTATTGATGAAGAGGTTAAAGTGATTAAAGATCAAAGGTGGAGAAAAGGGAAAACAGATCAAAGGTAGAGTCTAACTGGGTGGGGAAAAAGAAAAGAGAGTTGACAGAACAGAGAGGTCAAGGGGCTGCAGTCTTGAGGCTCAATAACACATGTGATTGGAATGCAAAAGTGTGAAGCAGTATTGAAGGTTGTGGTCAGACAGTGGGATGTCTGTGTTTACAATTTCAGAGATAGAACAATTCCACATGATAAGGCACACGGTGTGGTCACGAGAAGGAATGGTGGTTACTGGAGGTAAGGAAGTAACTGGAATGCTAGGTTGGGATGGGTTGTCACATGCACACTGAGGCCACTCAGTGAGCCAGATATTAAACCAAAACTGTATTTTCTTTCTTTGAAATCAGTTAGAAATTGAGGCACAAAAGCCAAACCAGCATTATATAGCAGTCATTTGTAGAATTTGTTTTAGGTGAAGTCATGACAGCCTCAATTAGAACTTTGACAGCTGTAATGGAAGGGGACAGTTGTGATGGTGAATTACTAATGGTATCTGGCAGGTGGCTAGATGGGTGAGGGGAGAGAGAGGGAAGAGGTGCCCTGCAAAGAACCATGTACCCTTTCCCACAGGCCACTGGGTGGGGAGTGGGGGTGAGTGTGAGCAGCCGGGAGGTGTAAAGCCATCAGCCCCATCTGCCACCAGAACTGTGCACCTGACTTATTGCCCAAGTATCTGCCTCTGGAAGGGAAAGAGAGAGGCAGAGTGGGAAGAAATATTGCCTAATGGTGAGGGGAAGAACAGGGACTATGATCCAAATGGCAGAAAATCAATTATCATTTATGCTGGTTCCCATTTATTTTTACCTTCCTTCAGTTTTAATTCCATTCCATTTAATTCCAATTCTGTTTAAAAACTCCATCTTATCTTAGCTTTACCATGGAGAAAAAGGAAAAGGGATTTTTGAGCATACAAACTAGCTGAGAGAGTAAATGCACCATGCAGCTCTGGGGCTGGAGGTGCTTGGAGCTGGGATCGCTATGGTACCATCCCTCTTGTGAAGGATATGTTTTGCCAAATTTGGGGACAATTCCCAGGTTTTGAATCTGGATGACTAGGACAGGGAAGTAGAAAGAAAGTGGTTTGAAGGAGAAGGCACTAGAAAGGGAAGTGGAACAATAAGTTTTAGACATACTGCATTTGAAGACCTTGTTCTCTAATGTACTTCCCAGCTAAATTTTTTCTTTAAAACTACAGGTACTACTTATGTAGACCTAAAAGAAAGAACACTCTGATAATGCAAATAATCAATGTCAATTTGTTGGGCAGACATCATTCTTTCTGAAAATAGACGATATTTATATTCTACAGTAAGTACAGGTACGTCAAGTATCTTTTGGGATCTTATTGTAAAGTTTGAGAATGGTGATTGTTATTTTTAGACCCAGCAAAATATTTTCCCAATTCTTGGGAAAACAGAAATGGGCTTAAGTTCCACCTCCCATGACTTACTGACTTTTTAAAACATTAATTTTTTTGCCTGTGAAATGGGTATTATAATAGTACTTAGCTTATACTGATGCTCAGAGAAACGAATAGAAACGAATAAGAATGAATATAAGTACTCACTGCAGAGCCTGGTACACAGTAATCCCTCAGGTAGCTATTATTATTAATAAACAATTGTGAGATGATTGTCACACTATAACAGAATAAATAAGATTATTTCTTGTATTCTCCCACATTCTTCATTCTTCACCTCCAGAGATAATAGATGAGAAAAACCTGAGATCACAAAAAAGTGATCAAGAAATAGATGGCAGTTGGGGCCGGCCCGTGGCTCACTCGGGAGAGTGCGGTGCTGATAACACCAAGGCCACAGGTTCGGATCCCATATAGGGATGGCCGGTTGGCTCACTGGCTGAGCGTGGTGCTGACAACACCAAGTCAAGGGTTAAGATCCCCTTACCGGTCATCTTTTAAAAAAAAAAAAAGCAAAGAAATAGATGGCAGTGGCAGTTGTTACTGCTGTAGTTCCTCTGAATTGCTTTAAGGCAGCAATCAAGCGTTCTTATTTTGTGTTGCATTACTTCCATAAATTAAAAATAAAGTTAGCTCTCACTTAACTAGAACCTTTGTTCCAAAATGGTGTCTTATATTCAACTTTTAAACGAAAAAGACAAATGACAAAAATAAATAAAAGGATAATATATATTTATTTAAAAAACGAATCCCAGGGGCTGTTTCAATGTCAGTAAACAGTTCCGTTTCTTGTACCTTCTACAGCTACATTCAGTTACAATCGTTCAGTACAACATACTTGAGGCATATTAAATGCCTCAAACGCCAAAAAACACTACCTTATCTCTAGCATACCACACTTTTTAATGCAGAAGTATTTTCTATAATGGTTACTACACAGTGTTTGCTGATTAATCTTTATTTAACCATAACCACACATTCTGTAGGTATTCCCGTTAACTGAGGTTTGTATCCCTAAGGACATGGTACAAGAGAGAAAAATTTCTTTTTTTCCCCCCAGCAATTTCAAGATATCTCAGCCAACAACACAACCTTACTACCTTCTTGAAAATAAAAAAATAAATATTTTAGATGAAATAATTTTTATATCCTAATTACTATTTAGAAAAAATTCTTTTTCAGTTGATACTTAAAAGAATTTTGATTTTTAATCATCATCCACAACTATTTGATAAAGTTAATTACACTTAAGTTTTTAATAAGATAATCATTTTCAAGAGAAAAAAATGAATGTTATTTCATTTATATATCAAAAAATTGATTTATAAAGAAGTGTATAAATGTTATTCTGCCACATATACTTCTTATCCCCTCCTAATACAGCTGTACCAGTGACATTAATGAGGTCATGAATATTATACATATTTTACCTCTTGGATAGAATTGTGTGGTTGACAGCATACTTTTCAGCAAGAATGATTCTGTTGGTTATCTTTACAACTTCAAAGTAGTTGTTAGAAATGTTAGTATCCTATTCGGTTTCCTGCTGTGTATGACTATCACAATGTTGAAGTGACGTCTGTTGACCCAGTCATCATCCCCATCATCATCTCAACCCTCGGGAATCATCATCAGCATCCCTCATACAGACAGACAGGTACGGTGGTGCAGTTGAGCGATAAAGAATCCAGTCTTAGACTATACTTTTCCAGTCTTTGTTTATATCACATTATTGTGAATTTATACAAATTCCACTTATAGTTTTAAAACTGTACTATGTAACACTATACTATTACAAAATATCCTTTTCTGTAAATGCACTGAAAATTTTCTTGGGCATTTATTAGGCCTATTAGTCCAAATACTAACAACCAGATATTTCAAAACCCCAAAAGTAAATCAGTTCATAGGAATTCTGTAGGAATACTGACCCATCTCATCTACCCTTCAAAACAGGTAAGCCTATTTGCCCATCTTATCTAAGCTTCAAAATAGTTAAAGCAAAAACAAAAAACAAATCGGCTATATGTAACACAAATCTTTCAATTCCAAAACTATTTATTGAAAGACCATGAGTCAGCTGAGCTATGAAGTTATACAAGATGAAGCTGAAATAGGTGTGCTTTTTAAAAACAATTAAACCCAGTTCTCTTTTCCCCTAAGGTTATAAGAAAATGGAAAATCTGCCTTTAAATCATGCAGAGATTTAAACCAACATTTTTCTATCTCCTCTGAGAAACTAAAATGTTTCTTGTCTTACAATTATAAACATTTAGAATGCTCAAATTATTTTTTATGGCCAGTTATTTATGCCTTTGAGACTAGATTGTATGGTACCATTTAGCCAACACGTATTATAATGCTAAGTTATGTATAAAATATTATTTCTGGTATTTGTCCATCTTCTATTGAAGTGCCATTATTATTGCCAGGGGAACTAAAAAAGAAAAAAACAGTCTTGCTCGCAGCAGGTGTCTCATGCGTTACTTTCTTCAATCCTTTTGTGCCATAGTGGGAATCTGGACCCTAAGTGAGAATAAAAGGTTTATTATAATTTTCAGTCAGTAAGCACTCAATTTCAGGTTGTGTTTTAATTAGATTAATGGTCTATTATATTTCATTATAGCTCCTGTATAAAATTTTATGCTAAGTCATTTAATGAAAAATGAAGTTTTTGTTAAAAAGCTAATTAATGAGTACAAACACTGAATGTAGAGCTTAGCTATTATAGAATAGTGAAAAGGTTTTAGGAAAATAGTTATTTTACTTTATCTTCTGTCAAACATTCAATTTCCTAGTCAAACTCAGGAAGAACTTCTTTCAGAACAGAGCTGTGCTGAGAAGCATTTCAATTCCTAAAGCAGTGGAATATTTTAGCTATCAGCTTCCTCCTCCCATCTCCTTTCTAAAAGGCTCTACTGTCACTAACTCCCAGCTGCTAAAACATGCTTTCTGTAGCATTCAAGAGGAAACCATGGGCCCCATGAGTGCACCATGTGGAACATTCTGATTGGCTCTTACTTTGAGAGTTGCGCATGCTGTGTAGCACACGTTGGGCAGGATCTCTATAGGTTCTTTGAACATGACCCTGAATGTGCTGGCAGTCCCATCACAACTAAATCCGGTATCATTTTGTCCCAGGGTTTGTTTTTTTTCATATTCAATGATCTGTAATTTTTGAAAGAGAAGTTACATTTAAGTTAAACCAACTGTAACAAAGTTTCATAGAAAAGAATATGAATCCCTTAGAAATAGCAGAGCAGACAACAAAATCTCTGTGTTCTAAGTTTTCTCTACTTACCATTAACCACCAAAGATGGCTTTAAACATACTGTCAAAAAACAGCTGTCATCACAGTAAAGGATGGGGAGAATGTTAGATAACTGGGGCTTGGCTGTAGAAGAGATGAGCTTCTGTAAAAGACACACGGCTTGGTGTGTGGATTTTAGAATATCTGAGGGAAATGGGTATTTACTCCCTGCTCACCTGTATCTTCTTGCCTAGAAATTCCCTTAGCATTTCCTATGTCTAAATGTTACTTACTGAAATTAAAATGACCTTAAATGCATTATTAGGTTTATGAATATTCAAAATGTCAGAATTCTGTCTTTTCAATTTAGTTTCATAATCTCTGCCAAGCACTGAGGTAGGCACTGAGGGACACCCTCAATGAGTTTCCAGTCACTAGATAAGACATGTAAATGGTGGTTATTCAGTCTAATACCTGCAGTAAGACAGCTATGCACAAGACAAAGCAGCCAAACAGAGGAAAAACTGCTTCTGTCGAGCAGGGGTTAAGCTTCACAGAGAAGAGTTTTAAATGCTCAAGTCAGAGCTTATCAGGTTACAAGAGAAAGGTCTGCCATGTGTGGGAATAGCACAGGCAGAAGGAGATGCTCACAAACCTGCCTTTTTGCATACACTAGATGAAAACAGTAATAGTGAAACAGACAAAAGCCGTTTATGCTGTGAGAGGTCAGGACAGTGGTCACTCTAAAGGGAGAGTGGCTGGAAAGATCATGAGCGGCTCCTGGGGTGCTGTATGTGGTGTTCCTTGATTAGGTAGTTAGACAGGTGTGTTCAGTTTGTGAAAGCTGAGCCATATGTACCACTTATAAACATGCAGATGAGCAAACTAAGGCTTAGAGAGGTTACACAATTTGCCCACAGTCACACCTTGTAGGCAATAGAGCTGAGATTCAAACTGAAATAGGTCTATCTGACTTTAAAGTTCATTCACTTAACCATTTTATCTCCTATAAAATGTAGGTAAAAATCTCTTGAAAACGCCAAAGCTTTAAATGTATCATTATTAGCATATGCACAAATTTTCAACACCTGCTTTTAGCCAATATCATTAATCCACTTACAGACTTGTTGTCCTCAATACTGCTTGTCCCATGGGGATATTAGAGAAGCTGAGATGGAATAAGAGGGTCCAGGGCTGGCCGGTTAGCTCAGTTGGTTAGAGTGTGGTGCTGAAAGCACCAAGGTCAAGGGTTCAGATCCCCATACTGACCAGCCGCCAAAAAAAAAAAGAGGGTCCCTAAATGTTACTGTTACAGTCCCAGGAGTTTACTATCTTTCCTTAATGGTCCACAGAGTTAGTGGTAGTGGATGTGTGTAGTCTATTGCTGTTAAAATCTTCCAAGCCATGCTATTATATAACACAGGACTTCAGCACTTTCATCTAATACTATTAATTGATCCAAAGCTGTGTTTTAAGTACATGGCTCTCCACATAACAAGCAGATGAAGATGACTAATTTTCACAACAAAATGCCATCTCTATTATGCCCACACCTGCTACTTAAGCAGTATAGACTTTTCTTTCTATACCCAGTATCTCTTGGGTAAGGACCCATGATGGGAATTATGAAAAAGCACTCTAAGTACTTCTAACATATACTCCCATTTAACACTTACTGATTCATAAGGAAACTTACTGATTTAGAGAAATTGAAATGACAAGTGTGTAAGGGAAGGGTTGAGGCAGGGACCATATCTGCTAGTTGGTAAATACATGGTACTGAGAGCAGTTTCCTGCAGGAATGGGCCCTTATTACAGAGTTAAAGCAAAGGTTTTAAACTAGTATCAGGATTTAGCTTCAGATTGGCTATGTATGGTCCTCATGGTGTTGGTGTTTCTAAAGACTTTGAATTATTAGTCAAAAATTGAACACAGGGAGATTTAACAAAGGAATCCAGACTTCTGGCTTCTTATGAAAAACCAGAAGGTTGGCATCCTTGGGCCCTTATTACCACATTGCTACCACTGGCAGCAGCTAAGTAATGGTTGCCCTTTATATGCTCCACTTCCCCACAGCTCCCTCCTATCCCTGTTGTCTCTTACACCAGGCCTGCTCTCTCATTTAAAATTACCCCTATAGGCTGGCCAGTGGCTCACATGGGAAAGCGTGGTGCTGATAACACCAAGGTCAAGGGTTCAGATCCCCATACTGGCCAGCCGCAAAAAAAATACAATATAGATGTGTTTTCAAAAATAATTTTACTAATTGTGGTGTGCAATCCAAAGTGCAGACAACACTGGTTTATTAATAAAGAGGGAAGGAGAGAGGCATTTAACTTTCTTCCAAATCAGGTACTAGTGCCCTATCTGAAAGAACTGAGGTGGAGAAGACCTAAAGAATGAGGCAGGGTCTGGTCAGACACTTGGAAGTCAGAGGGTGTTCAAAGTAGTTACGAGAAATAAGACAGTTTCAAGGCCCTAGAGTTGAAAATATCATGAAAAGAGCACAAGGTTATTTTAAGACAGTCAAATGCACAGCAGGAAGTACTACTAGAGGGATCTCCTAGACAAAGGAGAGTTCCTTGTATACTAATGCTTCTGTAAAGGACCTCAATATTCTGAAACTTAGACTTTTTAGATCAACGGTAAAATAGAACTCTCTTCGTTTAAAATGCTACTAACCGCCTTTCTGATTCCTTTGATTATTATACTGAAATTTCGTTTCTGTGAAAACAATACCTTATTGTAAAATTGCATGTTTGTTATATTTCAAGATGATACATAGTGGAGAAAAAAAGTTTACCTGTATATTTACTTGATAATCCGTAGGACCATGAATAGATCCGTATAAGCCAAATCCGACTATAGAGATTCTTCTATTAACTGTGAACCTGAGAGAAGGAAGCCAAATATAAAATAACATACATAACTCCAAAAGTGTTCATATTCTGAAGGTTTATAATCTTTTAAGTATTACCTGGAACATCCAATTTTGCTAATAAAAAGGAAAACTACCACAAATTATATACCCTTAGAAATGTCATATGGTTGCTTATAAAAAAAAAAACACGTTCTTTCTAGAGTAAATTAAACTTAACAAAGAACTTAAGTAGAACTTGTTTCTGTATTGTAAAAGGAATTTATTTAACCTAAATACTCACCTTTGTTATAATGATAGTTTTAGTGCTACCCTAGTCCAAATATGTTTTTGCACATCTCTTTCAAGAACATAGCCATGTCAGCCATTAGGACTGAAGCCCTGCGTCCCAAACTATGACAATTAATCAGTTCAATAAATACTTACTGAGGGCCTATCATATTTAGGTACTGGGCTTGGCACTAGGAAAATAGTGGCTAACAAGATACAGTTGTTCTACCCCCACTGGGCTTACAGCCTAATGGAAAACACTGATAATAAATGAGTACAGAAAGAAAAAAATAATTATAAATTATTTATAGGAGTTGTGAAGGAAGCAGGCTGCTGTAACAGAGAATATTGGCGGTGGAGGGCTGGGACCAAGACCTAATTTACACAGATGGATTTGAATGAGGATTCCATAAGTAAAACAATTAGGAAGTCCATTTTGTCATAACAGGAAATATTGACCCATCTTACTCCACTTTTACATTAAACATGCTAAAACTGACATCAAATACATATGGAATTAAAAGACTGCACAGTGAGAGATAATCTGTAATGTAGAACAAGTAAGTCTCAACATTTTCAGCAACAACTTCAATTATTGTTACTACTAGCACACCATCACCACTTAATGAGTACTTCCTAATGTGCCAGGCACTCAGCTTCAGTTCTTCACATGAATTATTTTCTTTAATCATTACAACAGCCCTATAAACTAAGCAACAGTACTATTTTTATTAACCTAAGTTTTTGTAGTTAAAGAAACAGATTATGAGAAATTAGTTTGCCTGGGTCAAAAAGTGTGGCAGAGCTGGGACACAACTCCAGGTCTGCTCAGATCAAAAGCCATCTCTTAACTACCATGCTAAACACACAGTACAGTAAAAGGACCACCTTATTTTTTTTTTTCATTTTTAAACCTTTTTATTTTGTAATATTGTAGATTTACATGCAATTGTATGACATAATAGAGATCCCATATAGTGTATTCTTCACCCAGCCTTCCCCCATGTGACATAGTACAATATCTAAATTAGGAAATTGACACTGATACAATCCTTCCATCTTATGCAGATTTCAGCAGTTTTACGTGCTCTCCCTTGTAGTGTGTGCATGCGTGCATGCATGTGTGTGTATGTGTATTTAGTTTACATGTATAGATTTGTGTGACCAACACCACAGTCAAGATACAGAACATTTCTTTTTTTTTGTTTGTTTGTTTTTTTCCTTTTTTCGTGTCCGGCAACGGATCGCAACCCTCAGTGTCGCGCCCGCACCTCGCTCAGCCAGTGAGCGGGAACCCTCAGTGTCGCGCCCGTACTGGACCGGGACCGGCAACCGGATCGCAACCCTCAGTGTCGCGCCCGCACCTCGCTCAGCCAGTGAGCGGGAACCGGTCTATGTGGGATCCGAACCCTCGGTGGGAGCGCCACCACGCTCCCAAGCGGCGCACTGTAGCAGTGCGCCACCGGGCCGGCCCCAAGATACAGAACATTTCTAAGGCTCCCTTGTGTTGCCCTTTTATAGCCAAAGGACCACCTTAAATATTTCAAAATATATTATTTATAATCATTTTATTATTAAAAAACAATATATTGTTTAAAAAATTAGAAAATGCAGCTGAACAAGAGGAAGTTTTTAAAACATCCATAAATTTAGAGATAACTCTTGCTATCCCTTTGCATTTCTTTTTCAGACTTTTGTCTATGAACACATATGTATTATTTTAAAAATCATATCAGAATATGTATATTTTTACCTTTTTTTGGCAGCTGGCCAGTTCTGGGAAAAATATATATCTTTTTATAACTTCATTTTTCATGTAAAATGATAAAAAATTACTACTGACTCACTATATTTAACTAATCCCTTGTTGGATAATCTAGGTTATTTGCCATTTTTATTATTATATAATAATGCAATCTTGAACAATCTTATAGCTAAATCATTTTACAAAGCCTTAATTATCTTCCTTAGAATAAATTCTTAGAAGTAGAATTTCTAAGCAAAAACAAAAAGCACATGCTTAAGGCTTTAACTAAACATTGTCAAACTGCTTTCTGGAAAGATAACACATTACACCCCATAAGGAATAAGGATCACTTCTATCTCACTCTTATCATGAGTATTTTAATTTCCTCTTGCCTTTGAGAAACTGATGATTGACAAATTCCATTTATATTTCTTTAATTATAAATGAGATAAAACATTTGCTCATATGCTTACTGCCCACTGGATTTCCTCTTTAATGAAATACCCACTCTTTCTTTTATCATTTTTCTCTATTGATGAGTTTGTCTTCTTCTTTTTTTTTTTTTTTTGTCTTTTTCCGTGTCCGGCAACGGATCGCAACCCTCAGTGTTGCCCCTGTACCGGACCGGGGACCGGCAACGGGATCGCAACCCTCGGTGCTGCTCCCACGCCTCACTCAGCCAGTGAGCGGGAACCGGTCTGTATGTGGGATCCGAACCCTCGGGCGGGAGCGCTACCGCGCTTCCCAAGCGGCGCACTATCCAGTGCCCCACCAGGCC